AGTCGGACGCTTAACCGACTGCGCCACCCAGGCACCCCTGTTACATATTTTTAAAAGCAAGAACATGGTAAACACAACATATAGGTCAAGGGGAGACCGTGAGAAGTGAGGAAATGGAGTGAGGAAGAATTCAGTGTTTGATGCTGGTTATTGCCAAGGCATGTAGTGGCTTCAGGAGCACGTATATTATAAAAAAAAATACAAAAGAAAATAAAGCTGACCAATAGTTGCAAGTCTGTGTACCTAAAATACTTTAACTGCCACATCCTACACACACAGACACACACACACACACACACACACAGAACTGAAAACAGCACACAAGACCATCCTTTCTTCTTCCCCACACCCCTACCTGCGTCCGAGCATTGAGCAGCTGCTGGAAACTCTCAACCTCTTTGCTGTCATCTGCAGCCCGCTCCTAAGGGACGACAAAGGGAAATCTCAAGTGTGGGGAGAAGCAGCCCTTCACTTCAGGATATCCCCTTCCTTCCGCATTTACTGTACTTGGCCAGGCACTGTGCCAGACGCCAAGAATAAAACATGGAACAAAACCAACATCATGTCTGTCCTCAGGGAGCTAACAGAGCAGTGGGGGAAGCCAAACTCTCCAGGTGGGGAGGAAGGGAGAAGCAGTGTCTGTACCATCAGTACACCCAGCATCATGTCGTAGTTGTTGATCAGGAACACCAGCTGCTCCTTCCTTGAGGAGAACTCAGCTGCCACCCGCAGGACAAAATTCTCCACTTCCACCTGGAAAAGTCAGAAGAAGGAGGTGACACAAGTGGAGGTAAGGGTGCACGGCCCTCCTCACACTCAGGTGGCTGCGGCAGCTGGGCTGCTGGGAAGGCTGTCCTGCCCGCCCTCACCTGTAGCTGTCCCAGCAGCTGCATCGTCCGCTCGTTGGGAATTGTCTGATTGATGCTGACAAGAGCAGAGGAGAATTCTGCATATCGGCGTGTGATCTTGGGGAGACAAAGTAGGAAGAAAATTCACACCAACCCCCTGCCCGAGTCCCTGGGAGCTGGCCAATTAACCTTTATGACTCCTACCTCCCATCCCTCTAACCAACAATGCCCAGCTCACCCTGAGTTCACGCGCACTCCTACACTGCCCCCTCACACAGTGTGCCCAAATATCCAGCCAGGCCCACAACACAACTGGACACCTGGCCAACTCCACAGTGAAGCTAAGAGCCCTGCCTTTCAGAACCCCTTTGTTACCCTTCTCCTGTCTTACATAGTGGGGCCGAGTATCCAGCCCCCCAAGGCGCTGAGGGTCAGTGCTTCGGACACTCTGGACGTTCATCTCCAGGATCAGCTCAAACCGTGGCCAGAGCAAGGCAAGCACCTGCTCCCAGTACCTGCAGGCTTAATCAGAATCAGAGATCAGCTGGCAAGAAACAGGGGGGTCGTGAGGAGCAGTGGGTCATGTATGGAATTGTTGAATGACCATATTGTGCACCTGACACTAATAGAATGCTACATGTTAGCTAACTGGAATTAAAATAAAAACTTAAGAAGTCAGTAAGAAATGGGGGGGGGGGGGCAGGGGAAGAGTTTCTGTGGGGGGGAACCCAATTAACAGCTGATGGCTGGTGGAAGCAGGACTGGCATGAAAGGTGAATCAGAAAGCAGTACTATCTCCAGGCAGATGAATTGGAGTAAGAATCAGGTATCAGGTCAGTAGCAGTCCAAAGGTCAGGGCAGGGTCATGTAAGACTATGGGTTCAAGGGCAGTGGGCATCAAGGACCAGAACTCAGTGACCTGTCCAGGGCAGGAACATCCCTCTTCGCTGCAATGTTGCGGAATCGGAGAACAATGTGGATACAGAGAAAAACAGCAATGGCATCGTAGCAGTCAGTGAGATAGGACTCCAGGTGTTTCTATGATTCAGGGACAAACAGAAGATTGGAAAAGAATGTTACTGTGTCATTCCCAGCGGCTATGGACAAATGCATGTGCTCCTATGGGGAGGTGGCACTGGAAGGAAGGGAGGGAGAGGTGTGATCTCTCAGGAAATGCTCCCTCCTTCCCTGTCCACTGGCCACTCACATGGTCCTGTTGCCTTGCCCATCAGGATCTATGATCACAAGCCCATCACAGCAGAATTCAGGGCTGAGCACTATTTCGGGGGCCCCTCTGTTTTCAGATGTTACTGCCTGAGTGTGGGTCAGTAGTAGGGGTAACCTCAGGACCCCAAGCTTTGAGGGTTTCATATACTCGGCAAGTACGAGGTTTAGACATTTTAGAATAAGGAAATCCTGGTTTCAGTACCACCACAGCTAGGACTCCACTAAGGTGTTAAAGAGGACTGAGGACAAAGAGGTCTAAGGGCACAGGAGCTGGGGATCTCACCAGGGTCATGCTGAGTGTACGGCCCATGACAGCATTGAAGAGCTCGTGCGCAGCCGAGCCAGACACAACAAAGAATTCACAGATGAAAAGATATTCACGGCAGGAATTGTCTAGGAGGGCGTAGTGCTGGCTGCGGAAGAGGGCCTCGAAGGGATACTAGGATGGGAGGGGTAAAGAAGAGAAACAGAAGGGATGGATCCCAACGCTGACTCCCCAGAGACAGAGCTGGAAAACCATTGAGCCTGGGTAATGAGAGCTCAGGAGGCCCTTCCCATCTGACCCAAGTGCAGACTGAGAAAGAGCAACCTGAATGTGTACTGAAAGGAGGAGGGGGGACAAGGGGCACAAGAGAAGAACCTACCCCCACCTGCCGTTTTTATGCGTGCATTCACCTCCACAACCTGCCTCATGACATGTCACGCCCCTCAGCCAGTCTCTCCCTCTATATGCCCCAAAGTCAACAGTCTTAACCCTCCTCACATCACAGAACGCTCGGGTGACCTGAGAAGGCCACTCCCAGTTCTAAGGAAATTGATACAGGGACCTACAGCATGGGTGGCTTTGCCCAGTCTGGCCTCCCCCACCCAAGGCTCAGCGTCCCCTCGTGACAGACTCTTGTTCCTTCTCCTACCCTCTGTTCTCCCCGCTGTGCAGTGTGGGGCACCAGGATGGGGGCCTCCAGTTCAGTGGGGGAGATGACAGAGCCCCGAGTCCCCAGGGTGAAGATGGTGTTCCTGCTGCGGAGGGAAGGCTTTGAGAAGAATCGTGAAGGGTCAGGGAAAATAATAATATCACAACTGTGACAGACTCAGAGACCCAGTGCCTTCAGGGACTGGAGGCAGCTAGACACAGCCTAGATGTCCTTCCTTCCCAGTACCAGGACCTCACTCTACCTGATACTTGTGAATGGGCTTCAGAGAGCTTCTATCCTCCCTGATACCATATGCAAAACCATGTGTCAAAATGATGTGTGCCTTTTTCTGGGGAGGAAGGCCACAGCCTTCATCACATTCTCAAAGGTTTTGGTTACAAAGAAAAAGGCAAGAAGCAATGCCTTTGAGGCTGAGCTGGAAGTACCCTCCCTGTCAAGGGCTAGTATGTGGGTTCCTCAGGTCTAGGATATCTTTCTTTGCTGTGTCTTCCACGCCCATTAGATCATCCTTCTCAGCCACTTCCTCGTACTAGAAAAAAGAGAAAAGAGAACTGGTAACCATCTCTTCCTATAGTGATAAAAAATTTTTGTCTACTGTCCAGCCTTGCCCAGAGGTGGTCCCTCTTCCCAGCCCACGTTCCTAGGAATGCCTCTCTCCCTGGCCTCACCTGCACCTTCATGAGCCGCCCCAGGTAAGAGCGATAATAAGACAGGTAGATCTTGCTCAGTGTTTCCACATATTCATCCCTGATCTCCTTTGCTGTTGCTCGTTCATTGCCCAGTAGAAACTGATAGAAGAACCTGGAAGGGCCAGGGATGAGTCAGTATCCCTGCCTCCCCAAGAAAGCAGACACTACAATGGGCTGCTCAATACTTCAGAGGCCATCCTGAGCCCTTCCTTCAGGTGGTGACCTGTATTTCAGCAGTGCCGTCTGGGGGATCTGATAGTTGGTCATTGGTTTTCTGAAGGAATAAATCTTCTGCAGGATGAATTCTCGGATCTTCGTCACTGCCTAGACACGGGGGACCAAACACAGGGCATGAAGCTGCAACCTTATTACTGTTCAGGAAGTGGTGGGGGAAGTACCAAATGTTAAATATTGGAGGATGAAGGGTAGAGAATACCTCTTCAGTATTTCTTTAAATTTTCAGGGGAATCCAGAGACGTGAGGATGAGGTCTGCCAGGTAAAGGTAGGGTGAAGTTTTGGGGAAAAGCTACAATGAGCGCTGCCAGGGAAATCTAAGTTGAAGGTGTCAGGAGGAGTATTATCATCTCTGGGCTATCATCCCCATCTCTCACCTTGACCCGGAGCCGGTCGAGTATGCCTCTGACATCTGCACAGGCCGCTGTGCCTCTAGCCTCCTGCTCTCGGACTGCAGCTGCCTTGGCATCCAGTTCCTGTAGCTGTTCCAGGAACCTGGGCTCTGTCACTGGGGCCTCCAGAATTGCCCTGGGTAGCAGGGATGGGTGGAAGGGGTTAGGAGGGAGACCCAGACATCCCTAGACCCCAAGCCGTATCCCTTATATCCACCGTCTCCTCTCCTTTCTCACACTGTATCACGTAGTCAGGATACATGCACAAAGTTCCTGGAACCTCTCCCCTGCTCCCATGCCCATAAGCCTTGAAACTGCTCATCTACATGCCTGACCCTGGATGATTCCTAATCTTGGATGCCTAACGTATGCATCAAGATTGAAAGGGCTGTCAACCCACCCAACAGTTTCTGGAAGGCACCTGATGACACGAAGCCAGGAGACCCACGTGATAAGTAAGGTAGGTCACCCCAGCCCATCTACCTGCTACAGACATTGTGACTCTTCAAACTGGCAACTCACGTGATCAGAGCAGAGGGCACTATCAGACCATCGACAAGTTCCCCAAGTTTCCCCCGAACTGCCTGGCGGTTTCGAAGCCGAATGTTCATGGCTCCTGACTGTTCCTGCAGTGTCCGGATCTCAGAGCTGATAGAGCTGAGGTCACTCTGAAAAGCTCCCAACATCTGCTCCATGCGCTGGGGGGAGGACAGAGATGTTGCTGGAGCACCACAGGGTAGGTAGGGCACAAATGGGCCACCTAAGTTTATTGAAGTCTTCAGTATCAGTCCATGAGGGTAGCAGGTGATGAGGTAAAAAGCACCCCAAAGGTCACTGGTTATGGCAGTAACAAGAAAAGCTGCTGAGGTCACCCTGAAAATGAATCTAACTATCCCCATCTGAGGCTGATGACCTAAAGAATGGCACCAGACACCATGATCTGGTTCAGGGTTATTAGGGATCACAGGTCATAGTTACTAACCTCAAGAACAGCATCGCAGGCTGTAATCTGGTTGTGCAGAGATGCTATGTTCTCACTCTCTTGGATATCTGACCCACAAAAAGTCAAGGGGCCTCACCATAAAGTTGGAGATTCTCAGACCTGCAGGACCTCTCCAGTTTCTCCCTGAGATGACAGAAACTTCAGAGAGAAGATGTCAGCCCCCACCCCCACCCCAGGCTGCCTGCACCATACTCCACAAAATCCCTATTTTAATAACATCACCCATTTTGTCTACTGGAGGATACAATCCCGAATGGACTTCTGCTCAATCTGCTGTAGCTCCAGCTCAACCTGCTTTGAATAGTGTCGGAGATCCACGCCCTGGGAGAACAGAAACATGGCAGCTTAGGAGAAAGTCACAGTGAAGGGACACTGGGACAGAATCAACACAGGACTAGAGAATAAGACACCAGGGTAACATTATAAGTCCAAGAGACTGTTTCCTTTTTTAATTATTTGAAGGGAGGGTAAGTGGAGGGGCAGATCAGTATAGCCGAAAGCCTTACCGTTTTAAGAGCTTCCTTTACTAATTCATCCTCCAGATTTGCCTGAATGTGAACTGGAAATAGAAGTTTATCGTAAGGGTCCAGCTCCACAGCTCCCTCCCCCAACTGAACATCTGTCCACCAATCCCAGCCTTATTATTTCCAGCCCCCTTGCCTCTCAGATCCTCATAAGCAGTCTGCATCCACCTCTATCACTTACCATCCACTTCATCCAGGATGAATTCATCAGAGGAGATGTCCAACTCTCCAAGTTGCAATGGCTCCTGAAGACCAGGACCACCCCCCTGGAGAGGGACAAGTTAATGGGAAAGGACACAGGAAGAACATAGGGAGAACAAATATAATGGGATAATCCGCAAACCTTCATGGCATGGTGGGAGAGGGGAGAGGAGGACGGGCCGGAGTTTACTAGGGAGCCATAGGTACTGAGTCAAAAAATTCCAAGAGTTTCACATTGTACCCAATCTACTACTTGGGGCTTATAGGTAGGGAATACGACAAAGAAACAGGCAACCCACGGAGAGTAGAGGTGTCCCAATGGGAAAAATCAGGAGTTGCAGAGGACAGAGCAAAACTTACAGTTGAATGCAGGCTTTTCCAGACTCCTGCTATCTCAAGTGTTCTATCAACAATCCCTCTGGGGAGCACCAGCCTTTCTAGAAACGTCAGCTAACACATAGCTTTTACCTGCGTGCCAGGTGCCACCCTTCATATACTCATTCATCTCACCATAATAATCAACAATCTATATGGTACGTCTTATTATTTCGTTCACCTTATATGTGTATAAAGCACGACCGAGAGACTGGTTAACTTGCCCCAAGACACACAGCGTGTAAGTGGCAAAACTGGAATTGGAACCCAATCTGACTATAGAAGCCATGTTCTTAACCTTTACACTACACTGCTTCTCCATCCTGCCCCCAAATCTGGAAATTAATTGAAACTGTGCCTCTGGGAAATTGACTCTTGGCCACTCTGTTTCCGGCTCAGACTCAAGTCGGGTCCCAAGGAGGGGGTATGGAAAGCCAAACAGGTAGCATCATCGGTAGCAGTCGGGCTCCCACCCTTGTGCCTAAACCCAGCCCAGGCCTTTCTGACTCGAGGACGACCGGACAAGACTCCGTAAGAGAAAGAGCCCCGCGTTCTCACCAGCGGGCCCTCCTCCTCCTCCATATCTGAGGCCCCAGCCCGCAACATCAGCTCTCGGGCAGCTGCCGCCATGGTCGCAGCGGCGGCCATTCCGCGCAGCCTCACTTCCGGCAGCTGTCAGTCGCCGAGTCCGTCCCTGGAGTGGAACGGAGTTCTAGAAGGTCTTGAGGAGCGCGAAATCGTTCCCAGATATTTGAATTAAGTTGTTTGACTCCAACCTTCCCTCTTCAGCCCTAACCACTTCACCCAACTGAAAACGGGAATTGGAAGTCTTAAGCACTATCCCATCCCGGAACCTTTGCCGCTCTCACACCAAAGAACTTTACGAGTTGCAAAGGGAGGCAGCACCGGAAGTTGTAGCCATCAATAGCGACTCCCAGAAGTCGACTAGGCTCTGGCACAATTTCCTGAAGCGCTCCTGCAAGATAGCTCCGCCTCTTCCGTCTGGTAGCTATATAAGGGTACGACGTCACTTCCGTTCTCTCTTCCACAGGAGGCCTACACGCCGCCGCTGGGGCCGCCGCCATGGTAAGCTTGGGGTTAGTGGCGGGATCTGGCGACATCGGAACTGGGACACAGAAAGTCTGCTATTAGGAGGCCGGAAACGGCCTATTCTCCGGGTTCGTAACTTTCTGTGTGAGTCTTTGGATGGCGCCCCCCGGGGAAGAATAACTAAAGACATCTGGGGAGTGGGCCAAAGGAAGAGTCCCTCCCAGAGCGCTCGAAAGCGGCGAAAAGGTTGGGCGTGAATGGGGACCTCCAGTGTCTGCCACTCAGAGTGTACTTTTGGGAACGGGCAGAAGACCTCCCCCCTCGTAAAGGTTGCGTTTTCCTGGGCCTGAACACTTCATGTCCTGTTGCCTGCAGCACTGAGGAGAGTTTGTTGTGAGAAAACTGAAGGGGGGGGTCGTTGCTCCCTGTGTGACAAGCTTAACGTTACTGTTTGATGGTAGTTCATTCGTGATGTCTGGTTTCTCCCCCAATCTCTGTCAGTCTCTAGTAATCCCTGAGAAGTTCCAGCACATTTTGCGAGTACTCAACACCAATATCGATGGGCGGCGGAAGATAGCCTTTGCCATCACTGCAATTAAGGTAAAGTAGGGTAAGGAATGGAGACTGAAAATGATACTTAGGTTAAGACAGCTGTAAGTGAGGCAGGGTTGAAGAAACACCGTCCCAACTAGCTGGGTAAAAACAAAAGAATGGTTAAAAGAGTGATTAATTCCCCTAATCCCTCGCCACATTTACCCCAAAAGGTAAGTAAAGAAAGCCAGAGAACAGTTTGAGTAGAAGCCAAGATACTTTTAGGGGAAAGGGAGTGGGTTCCCTTGTCTACCAGAATTCACTAAAATTTTACTGGACCATCAGCCATGATCCTCTTGTGAGGTTTGTTCTAAATTTGGTTTCTGATTCCTACAGGAGTGCATCATAACAGCAGCCATCACTGTGGGAATACATACACCCTAGAAATTGTATAATTGCACATGGGGGTGGGGGTACATAGAAATGCCAACAGATTCCCAGCATGAAGAAACCAATAGTTGGGAAGTAGGAGGGTGTCACTACATCATGAGCAGGTTGTTTAACTCTGATGCCGGAGGTGAATGAAACGCATTTCCTGTTTCTGTTGATGGGAACAAGTGTTTGGTTCATTCTGTGAATTAGGTCAGGGAGCACAGGCTTGGATGATTCCCTTCACCAACCTGATGAACTGGCCTTCCAGATGGAGACATTATTCTATTGTATTTTTTGGCCCGTACATATAATTGTGGAACGGCTGAGTGTGTTTTCTCCCCTTCTGTGGACATCATGGGGGCGGGTATAGTCCCTGTCTTGCTCACAATCCCCTGTTTCTGGTGCATAATTGGTGTATTTATGCAGTGTTAGGGAATGGATCCAGGATACTGTAGCCTGGTTTCAAAAAATTTAAAGGAGACAAATATAAAATAACTTGTTAATTTAGAATTGTATTTCCTAGCTTTGATTTATCAGATCAAATTCCTTTGCTTTTTCATGTTATACTGCAGGAAGCACAGCTTTCGTTTTTTCTTAAACGGTGTATAAAAAGATTGCTTTCTTTGGTTATTATGTGAAACTAGTAAGATGGTGTAAAATATAGTACCTTTTTCAAGCGTTGGTATGAGGCTAAAATGGGATAGTGAATACAGACAGGCACAGCATAGAGATGTATATGGCAGGCTCAGTTCCAGGCAATAAAGTGAGTCAAATGAATCTTTTGGTTTCTTGTTGCGTATGCAAGTTATATTTACACTGTAGTCAATATTAAGTGTGTAGGATTATGTCTAAAAAAATGTGTGTACCTTGATTTAAAAATACTTTATTGCTGGAAGAAATGCTAATCATGAGTTTTCAAGGAGTCGTCATCACAGATCACTATAATGACTATAATGTTTAACTAAAAAGTGAAATATTGTGAGAATTACCAAAATGTGACACCAGCACAATGCTTTTAGGAAAATGGCACCGATAGATTCGTTTGACACAGAATTTGCCATAAGCCTTCATTGTGTAAAAGAACAAAAACCACAATATCTGCACAGTGCAACGAAATGAGATGTGCCTGTATAAAAGATGGTGATGGCTAATGGAATGCTTGTGTTAATCCCTTTGTCTCTGCCTCTTTGAAATTAACTGGTTTTGTATTTACTTTCATTAAATATGTGTTTGTAGTCCACTTAACAATTTAACCAAAGGACTTAAAGGTAATTTGTGAGTTTTGCAATAAGTCTCTTATTACACTTTGCTTATCACTGGGAAAGGTTATTCCTAGAGATAGACGATACAGAGGTTTTTGCTAATTGTGTGGAGAGCCAGCAAATGCACCTAGCTCTTTGGTGAGAGAACTAAAGCTTGGAGAGGGTCTTTTCTAAGGATCCAGAA